AGCTTGCGCATCAACGCATGCAGATGCAGCAGCAGATACAGCACCAGCACCATCAGCAGCAGCAGCAGCATCTGGCGGTGCTGCTGCACTCCAAGCACTCGTGCTGCTGCTGCAGCGAGAGGGATTGCGGCTGCTAGCTTCTCCTCTCTGCTCTCCTGCTGCTGCGCTGCTGCTGATCGAAGCAGCAGGGAGACGGGCCCCCGCGCGCGTGCTGCAGCAGGAAGCAAATGCAGAGTTTCAGTATATGTGGGCAACCAAGCAGCAGGACGACAACGACGGCAGCAGCAGCAGCAGCAACAGCAGCAGCAGCAGGAGCAGCAGCAGCAGCAGCAGCAGCAACGGCGACGCGGCATGGGGAGATGCCCTTTCTACTGACGGGGGGATCCAAAAGAAGCGGCGCATTGCGCAGAGCAGCAGCAGCAGCAGCAGCAGCAGCAGCAGCAGCAGCAGCATCAACAGCATCAACAGCAGCAACAGCAACAGCAGCAAATTGGAGGAGAAGGACGATAAGGTTTCTGCTGCAGCAGCACTTGAGAGTGTTGCTGCTGCTTCTGCAGCAGCTGAGGCTGCGTCGCGTGTGCTGCTGGTCGCGGAGACAGATGGGGGCAAATGGAGACAGCACGAGCAGCAGGTGGACGCGGTGTCTTTGCTGCTGGAGCTGTACAACCCGCAGCGGCTGACTTCGTTGCTGGTAGAGGGGCTGCAGCGCAGCAGCAGCAGCAGCAGCAGCAGCAGCAGCAGCAGCAGCAGCAGCAGCAACACCAGCAGCTGCGCTGCTTCTACACCGGCGTGCATTCCAGCGATGGAACTGCTGCGTGCCGCTGAGGCGAAACTACAGCAAGGAGACAGCAGCAGCAGCAGCAGCAGCAGCAGCAGCAGCAGCAGCAGCAGCGCAGCAGAAGGCTGCAGCAACCCCACCAGCCTGCTGCCTCCTCTCTTCGAGTCCCCGCAGCCTCAGCTGGCAGCAGCAGCCTGCAGCAAGGTTCGTCTGTCTGTACACCCCGCGCCAGAGGAGACAGTGTGTGGGGCGGTAGCATTCAGGGGGGATGAAAGAAACAGCAGCAGCAGCAGCAGCAGCTGCTGCTGCTGCTGCGGTTGATGCGGTTGATGCGGTTGATGCTGCTGCTGCAGCAGCAACAGCAACAGCACTAACAGCGGCAACGAACTGCAGCAGTTCATGTCGTGTGACGCACTTAGAACCCTCATATTAATTATGCTGCTGCTGCTGCTGCTGCTATTGCTGCTGCTGCTGCTGCTGTTGCTGCAGGGGGCTGAGGAAAGCAACGCGGCCTGGCTGTCTCCTCGTCGTTTGTCTGCTCCGCCAGAGGCTTACATGGAGCTGTTGGCTTCACAAATTCTTAGTGCGTCCAGCGTGCTGCTGCTGCTGCTGCTGCTGTTGCTGCTGCTGCTGCTGCTGCTGCTGCTACGTCTGCTTGCGCTGCTGCTGTTGCTGCTGCTGCACCTGCTGTCGTTGCTGCTCGTGCTGCTGTGCACCTGCTCCCACTGTACGTGCTCTTTCTCTCTCGCTGCTGCTGCTGCTGGGGCAATTGTTGCTGCTGCTGCTGCTGGTGCTGCTGGTGCTGCTGCTGCTGTCTTGCGCAGGCGGTCCGTTGCCTGAGTGTTTGCCTGGGAGTAATGTCTACGTCGATCGTCTTTTGTTCCTGCAGGTGAGGCTGCAGCTTCAGCTGCTGCTGCTGTTGCTGCTGTTGCTGCTGCTGCTGCTGCTGCTGCTGCTGCTGTCCTTGATATTACACTAGTTTGCTGTTGCTGCTGTTGCTGTTGCTGCTGCTGCTGTTGCTGTTGTCGTTGCTGTTGCTGCCGCCACATGTATCGTTTCTTTTGCTGTTGCTGCTGCTTTTATCGTTTCCACTGCTATTGCTGCTGCTGCTGCTGCTGCTGCTGCTGCTGCTGCTGTTGCTGCTGCTGCAGTGGAGGCAGCAAATATTCTTGCGTTTAGCTGCGCGTACGGAGGAGCCGATGAGGAGTTCGTTGGTCCTTAGGGCGGTGGAGGCGATCTATCAGTGGGTCTCCTCGCTGTCTCCTTTCATGCTGCTGCTGCTGCTGCTGCAGCTGCTGCTGCTGCTGCTGCTGCTGTTGCTGCAGTTTAGGGGTTGGTGTCTAGGGTTTAGGGTTTAGGGTTTAGGGTTTGTGCGTTGTGTTTTGTCGTCAGGAGAGAGAACCCGCTTCAGGTGTCTCCGCAGGTCAGCAGCAGTTGCTGTGTCTTGCTGCTGCGTCTCCGTTCTTCTGCTGCAGCAGCTGACGTTGCTGTTGAACCCTTCTGTGTTGTGTTGCTGCTGCAGGCCAACAGCAGCAGCAGCAGCAGCAGCAGCGCGCCTTTATTCCCGCTGCAGGCGAAGCTAGCGTTGTCTTTGGATTTGTTGTTTTTTCTATCAAGCCGCAGCTGCAGCAGTTCTCTGCAGCAAAAGCACACCGCAACAGCAGCAGCAGCAGCAGCAGCAGCAGCAGCAGGAGGAGGATTACAGTCTCCTCTTACTCTGTCTCTGCTGCAGCGAACCCCAGAAGGTGTTGAGGGCTGGTGCCCGTGGGGACTGTCTCCGCGCGGCTGTCTCCTCTCCCCCTACGAGCTCGCCTTCGCGCAGTGTCTGTCCAGGGCCTACAGCCAGCAGCTGCTAGACGATACGTGCGTTCTCTGTCTCTTGCTGCTGCTGCTGCTGCTGCTGCTGCTGCTGCTGCTGCTGCTGCTGTTGCTCTTTTGCTGCTGCTGCTGCTGATGATGAGGATGGAGATGATGATGGCGGTGGAGAAGGAATGCTGCTTCAGTTGCTGCAGGATAGGGCGGGGACGGCTTCTGCCGCTTCTGCTGCTGCTGCTGATGCTGCTGATGCTGCTGCTGCTGATGCTGCTGCTGCTGCTGCTGTTGTTTGCTGCTGCTGCAGGAGTCTACGTGCTGCATACAGCCAGCTGATGGGGCGCTTCCTCGTTGCTGCTCCGTTGGTGCCTCCTTCTGTCTTCGTCTTTCTCGCGTGGCTGGCAGACGGGCCACCCCCTCCAGGAGCAGCAGCAGCAGCAGCAGCTGCTGCTGCTGCTGCTGCTGCTCCTGCTGGTGATGCTACTGGTGCAACCGCTGCATCGGCAGACACACAGCAGCACGAACAGCAGGCGGGAGCTGCTGCTGGTGCAGGGGAAGGCACAACGCAGCTTAGCGGAGATCAGCAGCAGCAGCAGCAGCAGCAGCAGCAGGATATGCTGCAGCAGCAACAGCAGCTTCAACAGCAGCAAGGATTGCCACAGGATTTGCCGATGCAGCAGCAACAGCAGCCGTTTCAGCAGCAAGCTGCGCCTCAAGATCCGGAACATCAGCAGCAGCAGCAGCAGCTCCAGCAGCAGCAGCAGCAGCAGCTCCAGCAGCAGCAGCAGCAGCAGCAGCAGCAGCAGCAGCAAGAGGAGCGTGTTGCTGCAGCAGACATAGTTGCTGCATGCGGCCTGGGTGAAGGCCGCAGCACGAAGGCGCTGGCCAACGACCGGCGGCTCGTCGTCGCAGCTCTCTCACAAATCATCAAACGCAGAACTGCTCTCATCGCCAGGCGGTACAAATATATTATATATATATATATATATATATATATATATATATATATATATATATATATATATATATATA